TTCTCAACGGGTTAAAAATGTTTAACGGTGAAATTGGATTCCAGTGAGCTAATGGTTGCTTCTAGGTTATTTGCTCACAAAAGTTGGAATGAGATCAAAGATGCTTTGGAAGATCACTTTAAGGACTCTGATTCAATTAATCCTTTCATGCAAGCAAGATTTCACTAAATTTGAAGGGACTCATTTAAAACTTTTGATTATGAAGGTAAATGAAGACGATGGTGATTTAGATTTGCTTATTGAAATATGGTCTCATGAAGAGCATAGTCGTCCAAATAAATTTTATTGAAGGTTATGGTAGATGAATCTCCGTCAAGAACTTGTCTCTAACCTATTGAGATCATAGCACATTTAAAGCTCTCGACCCTTGGTATTTTCTACATGCTCTCTCGACCCTAGGTATTTTCTACATGCTCTCTCGACCCTAGGTATTTTCTACCTACTCATTGTGTTAGTTTCGGGTATAAGTACTCTTTTGTTGAAGATCATTTGAAACTCCCTACACGGTGGTGTAAAAGGAGTCTAGAACTCCTACCCTTTGGCGCCTCCTTGAAATAAAATGAGCCCCACTCGAGGGACGACCAAAAAACAGGATTGTACCGCATTGGGCAGAAGACGGAGTGGTTCTACCAGACAAAACTCATCTATGTATTATTGTAACACCTACTGATGTACCTCATAATTGGGGTGTACCTTCTTGATAAATGCACACACTTGTAGTCATTTCAGCCTAATTTCAAACTGGTTAATGCAAGAACTACTTAACTTGGGGTTGTTGCAAAAGAAAACAGGTCCCCTTAACCAGTCATACCCATTTATGGAGATTCAGGATCTAAATCTCAAATTAAAGGCGATTGAACTGAACCTTCCAAGTGCATCCGGTAGGAATCGAACCTACAAATTTTTCCCTTTATTAGGTCGCAATACTTTGTGGTTATTGTTTGAGTTTTCTTTGAAGCTAAGCTTTTGTTTGATAGGTCTTTTTTGTTTCTTAGTCATTCCCTTTTCTTTTATAATTTCTTTATGATCTTGTTTGCTTGTTTTTTTTTTCTTTTTTCTCTCTATTTTCTTTTCCACTTCCTTTGGAGAGGAGTTGGTATCATTTGAATATTTTCCTTTTCATTATATCAGTGAGAAGTTGTTTCTTGTTTAAAAAGGGAAAAAAAAATTAATTTTTATCTAAGGTTAAAACACTACAAATTGGTGACTAAACAAGCTTGAATGTTTTAAGACATGCACCCTAAATACAAGGCTTGCAAAGGGGCAGAATGCTCTCTGGTGCAATTCTAAAGAGAAAACTCAACTTCAAATCGTTCAACTCAACTGTATGGAAACAAAAAGCTTTCCTTGGGTTTATATAGCCAATGGTCTTGACAACTTTTCTAAATTCCGTTTAATTCAAATAATTAAAACCTATGCTAGAAATGAAATAAATACTTTGAAAATAACAAAACTCAAAGATCTTTTAACAACTTATAAAGTTTTGGTTGGTTGAAAAGTTAAATTAAAAATTTACGAAGGAACCATCACAGCTCTTGTCTATGGACCACAAAGTTTAAAAGATCTTTCAATGACAGAGAGGTTGAGTGGGGGAGAATGCTGATCTTGTTGGAGAAACGACAACTATCTGCAGAAGAATTCTGGTGGTTGTTGGAAGGCAACCTTAAAGAGGACTGTCTTCATGGCTTCCTTTTTTCTCTTTTATCCAGTGGTCTAAACACTTAAATATCCAGCAAAGGAACCCCAATATTTCATTTTCCTTTCGTGGTATTGCCTCTGCTAATAGAATGAGGAAGGCAGTAATAATGTCTTCCTGACTTGCACTTCCACTAGCAGTATTGGGTATTGGTTGTTCCGTGTGACCCCATCACTTGCCTTGTCTCTGCTCTTTCAAATATCTCTTGCTCATCACTCTCATGGCTCACCCTTTCAGAAGCAAGGGCAAGAGAAAGGGCAAGGGCATGATAAGGATAAGAAACTTTTGTGCTCTCTTGAGATTAAATTTCTTTTCATTTGTCTATCTCTTGATAGTAATTTGTAAATATTATAATTTTTATACCTTTTGAGTGAGTCGTTTTTATTCTCTTTTATTTGTGTTGGTTTCTTATTACCTTCATTCAAGAAAAATTTCTATGCGACTGTCGCACTCTTAACTATTTAACTATTAGATGCATGAGAAAGAAAGTAAAAGATGAACTAAAAAAAAATTAAAAGATGCTTTTGATGGTGCCTCTATCAGCCATGAGACCAACAACAACACTGTGCCTACCTCCCCAATAAATTTTTCTTTTGCAGACCCTATAATTGCTTCTTTCTTCGTATCTTTCTCCCCTGATTTAATTAAAAGCTATGTTCGTCACATTTGAAAAGGAAAAAAAAGAGAGAGAGAGAGAGAATGAAGAAAGATTATTCACTAGGTACTATACTCTTGTGAATGCAGGAATTAATATGTTTATGGAATTATCTATAATTCCGAAGCTGTCTTTTTCTCTCTTCATTTTTCTTCCTTTTAAAGCATTCCTCGCGATGTTTTGATATAGCCTATGCTCTCATAAAAGTCTTCAAATGAAATCTTACTCATAAGTTACAATTGAAATTGATTTTGATAGGGTATGTTACAAAAGCCAAAACCTTTCTTTTTACTGGAATAGAGCCGCTGAGTAATTAAAACAAATGAACGATTAAACCAAAATTATTTAATAAACTCACTGCATCCTTTTTTCATGATATATCATGTTTATGATGAACACGATTTCTATACTTGAGATTTTTATACGCACATGTTTATGCTCAAGACCTTTCATTTTTCATCTTTCAGGAGCCGAGGTAAATTTGAAAAATAATGGTGGTCGCACTGCTCTTCATTATGCTTCGAGCAAAGGGTGGTTGAAGATTGCTGAAACTCTTATCTCACATGGAGCCAAAATTAATCCAAAAGACAAGGCATGTCAGTCACCTCATATATAGTATTTTAAATTGCCTAAGCTTTATTTCAATTCAACATGTAGTTTGCTTGTACAGCTAGAGTTGAAAAGTCTTATTGTGTCATACTTGTGAATCATCTGATCAATATTGCTCATTGGAGCTGATGAATTGAACAAAAATTAGGTGGGCTGCACGCCGTTGCATCGAGCAGCTAGCACTGGGAACTCAGAATTGTGTGAGCTTCTGATCGAGGAAGGAGCAGAAGTTGATGCAACTGATAAAGCTGGTCAAACACCTCTTATGAACGCAGTAATCTGCGAAAACAAAGAGGTTATTTTGGTTCTTATATACACATATATTCCGAACTCTGTTATAAGTTTTTCTTTAGTTAGATAAGTTTGTTTCTATCATCTGTTCTATGATGTTGGTTGTATATGACATCTTCGTCTGGCTGAAAGGGGCGTTGTGATTGATGATTAATGAGGCAAATAATTCTAATTTTCTATAAAACTAGTACCAACTTGAGTATAACTCAATTCAGTTAAAATAAATTACGTATTTCATCACGTTTTTAAACATCGGGCTATGTTTATTTTTTAGTTTTGTGATTAGCATTGGTGGTTTAGATGTAGATATTGCTTGTGTTGTCGTGGTAGACAAATGTTATTACTAGTTGTGTAAGCTCAAGAGAAGATGTGTAACTTTATGTTGATGTGTCTGACAGGTTGCTCTTCTTCTAATAAGACATGGAGCGGACGTGGATGTGGAAGACAGGGAAGGTTACACTGTTCTTGGTAGAGCTTCAAGTGACTTTAGGCCAACCCTGATTGACGCTGCCCAAACAATGCTTGAAGGATGATGAAAATGACGTCGTTGTTAAAGCTGTACCAAGGGTTCCCTGTGTTCACTCCTCTAGTTTATGAGAAAAGGATTCCAGTTTGGGGGGATCATCAATGCACCAATTCCCATTAGAAAGATGCAGAGATTGAAGAGACTTTTTTTTTTTTTTTTTGAAGTTCCATTTTATGCTAGTAGTTCCATTTTATACTAGTAGTTCCATGATGTTGTAGTGCTTGCTCAAATTTAAAGCTGAGTTTTGGTAAATATTTGGATGATTTATATTTTGAGGTTAAGTTGATTTCCACCGGATAAATAAGATAGGAGTCGAGATTTTTGACCACTTTTTAACATTTTTTTAGATCAAATGCAAGTTGCCTTAATTTATTTGGTTATATTGATCAAAATTGACTTTGAATCGTGTTGATTTAAGAACTATAAAAAAATATTAAATAAATTGAAAAAGTTTGCCATACACTCAGAATATTATAAATTTAAGATTAAATTACAAAGTTTTTTTTTTTTTTTTTTAATTTTAAAATTTGAATTTTGAATTTTGAAGATTAAGAAAACCTTTATTTTTGGGTCCTAAAACAAAAAAGAGGGAGAAATTGTACGGATTAATATTGAAAATTAATGAATTTCAGTTGCCACTTTTTTGTTCTTATTTACCCTATATTGACCTCTGATTTAGGGAGGCTGTACCTTCTCAAATATTGTCGTATCTCAGCAAAGCCGGCGCGCCCATCATTTCAATTTTTAGTTCACAAATTTTAATTTTTTTGTGCTTAATTTTTTCAAACTGGTAGAATCTTAGAAAAAGAAATTTAATCCTAGCTTCAAAAGACGAGGAATGATCATAAGAACTCATTCTAATGAATTTATAATTAAATAATATTCTCTCTATTTGTACGAGGTCTTTTGAGAAAGTCTAAAGTAAAGTCATAAGAATTCATTCTTAAAGTGGACAATTTCATATCAATGGTGTTGTGCCCGAATCTCTTTTTGACTATGCGCTAGTGATTCCACTATTATTAGTGAATAATAATTATTAGTGAGCAATTATGGAATAATTCTTTTATATTCATAGAGATAGGGGACATAATTCACATGGATATGGTAAGTCTCGCTTGGGCTGCTTTAATACAGTCGTGTTCATCTAACAAAAATACCTAATTGAATATGGTGATGTATTCATCTAACAAAAACATCTGATTGAATATGGTGATGTATGTTACTAGCCTTAAATGATATCCACTATATTTTTAAACTATTGATTTTGTGTTTAATTACTTCAATTTTTTTGTTTATGGCTTTTGGATTGGTCATTGTCGTTTTTTCAAGGTAATATTTGTAAATCCTGCATCCATTCCTGTTTCAAAATTAAAAAAAAAATAAATAAAACTTGAAGAAAAAAAGAAGTCACATAAATTAGGAGTTTATTACTGAAATGGAAATTTTTTAAAAATTATTATTTATCACGTCTATTTCCCTTTTTTATATATAAAGTTAGATATCTATCTTTATTACATAGTTTTATGTTTAAAGCACAAAAATAGACATTATTTTAGTTATAATGACTAAATCACAACAATTTAGTATTAATTACTTACTATAGACAAGACAAGTTGGAAAACAAGGTAGTGAAGCAACTGATCATAAAAGAAAAAGAAAAAAAAAACGACAAAGTGGGTGAAGACAAAATAAAAATAAAATTAGATTTCTTATATACTTTTATTTTAAGTAGGTCTTAATTTTAAAGCTATCGAGTTAGTACAAGAGACTTTGTGCAACTACAATTTGTTTTCAAAACTAACTTAGGCTTAGTTTGAGATTATTATTACTTGTAAAATAGTCATCACAGCTAATTAAATTAGTGTTCAATAAGTTTAAATTTAAAATTTTTTAGTTGTTAAAACTTTTGTATGGTTGAAAAATATTTGGATAAAATAGGTAACAAAACAAAGAAATTAATAGGTGTAAATAGTATTAATAAGCTCAGTATTTAAAAATTAAAAACAAAAAAGCAAGTTTTTCCTTGATAAGAATTTTGTCTTAATTTTCTATTTTGGTTTAGACTTGGACTTATCTTCAAGAAACACTTCTTATGGTGGAGGTGGATGGGGGAAGTTAATCTGAATTAAGTATGAAACTACAAACAAAAAGATTCCCTAAAAGGTTAAAGACTGATCTAATAAGATATTTACTCGAGAGTTTGAAAGGGAGCTAATCTTTACCAAACCATCAATTCCTTGCTGATGATTAAAGGAAGGTTGAGATGTGAGTTACAAAACTGATCGATATTCAAGCTTTTTTCCAGTTCAAAATTATGAAAATCTAAATCTGTAACAATTTCTTGTAAAGGGTAATCAAACCAAGAGCCTCCAGACTCGACTCAAATTGAAGAAAATGGTGCAATTGAATGTGAGAAGGATTGAGTTGAAGAGTAAAACAAAAAACAAAAACAGGGAGAAACATGCTAACCTGAAAGTTGAACGCTTATAGAAATCTTCCCTGTGTTCCGCATCCACGTCAGCTACACGTGTAATTAGTAGAGCCACCTGTCAGACACTTCAACATCAGTAAACATCTTCCCTTGAGAACACAAGAATATTGATTGAGCATGATCCATAGTTTCTAATATAACAGTAACAAATGAGTTTCTTCTATGATTGATTACTATAACAAAATTTTCTGAGCAAATAGATGTATGCATTTGATTCATACCATAGAATGCAGTTCCTATGGAGGGATTATTTCCCTGTCAAAAACATCAAGGCATTTCACAAACTGTTGTGGAACATCAACTTCTGGTAACTTTTGATTCATCTTCTCAATTAAAGACATACCTGTCATGAAATACAGGACAATATTACAGATCCCAAAGAAAGAAACGAAACAAACTTTTGATTGATTGGTGAAAAGGAAGAAGAACTGAATGCAAAAAGAGAATCAATAGGACTAAAAGCTAGAACCCTTACGAGAACAAGAAACACTGACACCAAGAAGACAGATGCAACAAAAAGAATACTCAAAGACGCCAAAAAAGAACAATGGCTTGTTAAACAACAACAAGAATAAAGATATTGATCAATGCCAAGATCTTCTTTAAACAGAGACGAAAAACTTGAATAACCAAACAGAACCACCAAGCAGAAAGAATGTGTAATGAAAACAATATTAACTTTTCATTGCATTATGATTAGGACATTATGAAACCCACTCTAGAAAGTTCATCACCTTCTTCATCAGGACGGTCAACACCGATCATTGTTTGAGGTTGTTGTGAGTGAAGGACAAGGAAGAAAATCAGCAAAACCCTCAACAAGGTCTGGGTGGTCTTGCATCAGTACACAAACCTGCAAACCCAAAACTATTAATCTTAAATGAAGCAACAAAAACAGCAAATTTGTTTCTTACTTGAACTTGAAATGTGAAAACAAACCTCCCGGTGGAGCTCACTTAGAGGCTTTTTTCCTCTTTTGTACAAATGCAAATTTCTCATAAATGAATTGAATATATGGAACTCACCTTCAAACCGTCTCTGCATATACAAAAACAAAAATGTATATAATGCAGGAAAGCAAAATAATGACATCAAACTACGTCAAAAAGTGATTGAAAATACTCCTAAACTACGAAGTTGGTTTCATTTATACCAAAACTCGTAAATGCTTCATTTTAACATTTGAAGTTTGTTTCAAAACAACCTTTCGCTATTAAATTCCTAGACAAAAAAGGTTAAATTTGCATAAGTGAACAATAGAAACACATTGTTCATCTGGTCGTCCTCATCCTTCAACCTCAAGCCCCAAATTTTCTTTTTTCTGTTTGTAACTTCTTCACTAAACCTAAACCAAAATTTTCATCCCGCATGTGTTTAGATTGTTCATTTCAACAATATATAAGCAGATACAAACTTTTCCATCATGAATTGAACGAGAAAAAACTTCAAATTCCAAACTTCAATGGTTAAAATGAAAGTTTTCAAGTTTTGAGACAAAATTTACCTTAACCTCACTGATATATTCCAAAGCGTCTCCAAGTTTAACAGGCCGCCTCCTTCGAGGAGGCGTTTCATCCTCAAGAGGACAAGCTATTGCATATCTTTGTGGCAAAAAGGTATTAAAGCCCAAAATCAGGTCATTATGACCTCTGAATAGACGCTTTACCCCTGTTATGACGCCCACAGTGTCAATTCTGCAAATCGATAACAACACAGATCACTTCAAAACTCAAATGGAGAAACCTATAAACTAGATTTTATATTGCAACCAAACCTTTGAAACGCTAAATCCTTCATGAGTTGAAGAAATTCTTCATATTTTTCCGTCTCGTTTCCAATGACGTCCTTCACATTCTTGAGAAATTCTAGGGCATCCTCCGCTGTTAATTTCCGGATACTGCCATCTGCCTCCCCGCGGTTCTTCATTTCTGACAAAGCACCTGTTAACTACGGTGATCTATAGAACTCACTACTGAACCAGTACCAAGATACAGACACAAGCACGTCTCATTCTATCGATTTGGCAAACCTCTGTCCTGATCATTAGTTTTCATTTAATCCTCAACCATAACCAATATACTTCTCGACAGAAGGCAACGACAATAAAATCCTAAAAGAACAAGAAGATTGAAGGAACAAAACCAGTTCACATTTCTTGATAGCACCGCAACGATAATAAAATCCTAAAAGAACAGAAAGATTGAAGGAACGAAACAAATTAACATTTCTTGATAGCAACGCACGATAATAAAATCCTAAAAGAACAAGAAGATTGAAGGAACGAAAACAATTAACATTTGTTCATAGCAAGGCAACAATGACACGATTATGGAAGAAAAAGATAAACGATTACCTGAAGAAAATCTGCGGAAGCTTTGTCGAATGAGCAAGAGTTGAGCAGTAGAACGAACTTAGGAAGGACGGTTTTTGAAGATTCAAATGTTATAAGTGGTTTATATAATTAATTCGAAAAATAATTAATTCAATCAAAATAAAATCGTATTTCATATAGTTGGGAGATATATTTACGAAAATGCCCATGAAAATAAAATTTTTAAAGTAATTATTACAAACATAAATTAAAATATTTTCATTTTGATTTTAATATTTAGGATTTAATTCGATGCTACGAATTTTTAAATGCTCCATGTATTTGCATGCATAAAATTTTAAGATTTTTTAATTCAATTAAATCCGGGTTTGATTTTTTGAAAAGACGAAAATAGCCCCGAACAAAATCCAAGTTTGAAATTTTGGATTTTTAATAATATGGAATATCAAATATATTATTTCATATTGGGATACTAAATTTTGATTACCCTAATAATAGACTTTATTTAAATTATATCCAAACATTTTGACTTTTTTTTATATATTTGTGAAAGATTAAAAAAGAAAACGTCAATGCATTAGATATGTTAGATGAACATGACTCTCTACAATGATATGATATTCTCCACATTGAGCACAAGCTCTCGTGCTTTGCTTTGGGCTTCTCTAAAAGGCCTCATACCAATGAGATAATATTATTTGATTACAAACCAATGAGATAATATCATCTCTATTTGCTTTTGAGAGCCCAAAGCAAAGCCATGAGAGCTTGTGCTCAATATGGACAACACCATACTATTGTGAAGAGTCGTGATCTAACAAGATAAACTCATTTTAAGCGAGTGTTGTTATTACAATGGATAAAATAGCGATACACCTCAGTTTTATGCAATATGATTGATATGCAATTTTTTAATAATATCAAGTTGATGATCATCCCGAGGGCACACTATTTTTGTTATTGTTTTCTTATTCGATCAGTTTGGTCGATTTAAACTCTTCTTAGAATTGATAATTGGCTAATGGATATATGCAAAATCGACTCGAACAACAAACATAAGGTAACTAACCAATTTGACTTGTTTGAGTTGGTCGGTTCCTATTAAATATAACTTATTGTTTGTAGGTAAATAAAAGTGATATTTACTTCCGAGGTTATATAAAGTCATGTATGTTATGTTTGTAAAATGAGACAAAAAATATAGTAGAAAGAGATTAAGTTTATTTGCAATTCAATGTAATTTAAATTTCATGCTTAAAATCATTCAAACTTGACATGATCGATCTTGCATGTGGAGTGATTCGAATCTAAAATAAGTGTTCTTGTCTTAAGCAAGATCGATCACGTTAAGAATATTTGTTTGAGATTTTAAAATTACAGTGATTTATATTCTCTGGACCTCTTCATTGATTTTAAAAATTGCAGTAATTTTAAAACTCGAATCTCAAGTAAGATTCTTGACATGATCAAACATTTGATCGGGATCTTATTTTTCTTGTAGTGATTATTATCGGATGATTTAAAAAGCGAATGATTTTAAAATTTAATTAGTTGTATTAAAGGAAATATTTATTTCTCTATTTGTTAGAAATAATAAAACTTAGAGTTTCTCTTTTTTTTTTCTCTTCATTTATTGAGTTGATTAATTGAGGTGAATAATAATTAAACAAGAACTAATTTACACCTTCACTTGTTTAGTTAATCAAAATCTCAAATTATGAAAAATAAAACATTCATAAAATATATATATAAGATTCTAAATTCCCTTTTAAAATATTTTAAAGAGACGTGGAAAATTAGAACGTTGGAACACGGACTATAACAAATACTTTGAAAATGGAAATAGAATAGTTATAATAATAGGTCGTTAATCGGGTTGTCGAGACCCACCTAGCGTTCTCCAGAAACCAAAATTTCTAGAGGAAAATAGTGGTTTGTGATATGAATTTACGATACTTTTTACATTGTATTCAATTAAATTAGTGGCCAATGTTAGACAAACACGACTCTCCACAATGACATAATATTGTCCACTTTAAGTATAAGCTCTCATGTCTTTGTTTTGAGTTTTCCAAAAGGCCTCATACCAATGGAGACAATATTCCTGGCTTATAAAGACATGATCATTCCTAAATTAGTCGGGGTATGATGATGAAAGTCCCACATCGGCTAATTTAAGAAATGCTCATGAGTTTATAATCAAGGAATACTCTTTTCATTAGTATTAGACCGTTTGGGAAAGTCCAAAATAAAGTCATGAGAGCTTATGCTCAAAGTGGACAATATTATATAATTGTGAAGAGTTGGGTTCGTCTAACAGCCAAATTAAAAAAAATATTTAAATATCTTGTATTTGCAAATTAATTTATCTTTTTATATATATTTGAAAGAAAATGTTAATAGAGACTAATTTAAATTAATTTGATAATATAATAAAAGGTGGAATTTTGAAAAAGATAAAATGGGGGAGATAAATAATAAATAATAAATAATAAATAATAAATAATAAATAATAAATAATAAATAATAAATAATAAATAATAAATATAGGATGTACAAAATTAATAATTTTAAGGTTTAAATATATGGGAGTATATAAGATTTAGAGAGTTTCTTCTTCACCTAAGGTTGTTAGAAAATCACATAATCTTCAAAAGCCTTCCTTCATTCTTATTCAGTTTCCTTCCTTTTCATTGCGTTTCTCTCTTAGCTTGCTACTGCACAACTCCTGCTCATTCACCCAGACTTCACGATTCATCGCAAATTTTTCTTCATGTAATTCCTTCGTCTTTTCCTTCTCCAATTTCATCTCAATGTTATTTTCTTTCGTTCCTTCAATCTTGTTGTTTTCAGATTTTGTTTGTTGTTTTTGTTGGTGATCCATCCACAGGTTCCGAATGATTTCTCGTTTTTACTTTTTTTCTAACTTTTTTCTTTCCTTCTCTTGGTTAGATCTGCTGCTTGCTTGCCGCCCTTCTTTCAAACAACGAGTGTGGCGTGCAGGATTTTGGTTCTAATCCGGCGTGGGGTATGCTTTGCTGTTCCATAACAAATACTTAACTTTAGCGATGAAGAGGTCCAGAGAGGATGTAAACATGGAATCACACCTCCAGCGTCCAGTATTTCCCTCTAGAGGAGAATCGTATGTCTATTTTTGATGTGTTTGATGAATTTTGGTTTGCCACTATTTCGATTTTTTTTTGCAAATATATGGATTTTTTTTTGGGAGTAAGGTTTTGTGTGTTGAGTTTGCTTTATCCTTTTACTTCGTTTTCTCCTTTGCCAATCTTTTGAGTTCTGGTAGTTTTTTGTGCTTTAACTTGATGCGAAATATACTGATTTATGCTCGAGGATTTTCCATTTAATGAATCCATCTAATGAATACTATGATCAGGACAGATGGTTTGCCAAATTAACTAATGAGAAGTGCTTGTTTGTGCAATATTTTTTCTTGAGACTCCTTCAGTTGTGAGTTCTATAGATCACCGTGATTACCAGATCTTTCTATTTTTCTGTATATCGCCTTGGGAATGAAGAACTGTGCAGAGCCAGATGGTGGGAGGTGGCAGTATTCAGAAACTAACAACGAATGATGCCCTAGAATATCTTAAGAATGTCAAGGACATCTTCCGAGACAAGAAGGAAACATATGAAGATTTTCTTGAAGTTATGAAAGAATTCAAGGCTCAAAGGTTTGGTTGCAAGAAAATGTGTACTTTCTTCCTTTCCCAGTCTAGTTTATAGGTATTCTCTTGAGTTTTGAATGATCCGTGTTGATGTTATCTGTTTCTAGAATTGATACTGCCGGTGTCATAGCAAGAGTAAAGCATCTATTTAAAGGTCATCGTGACCTGATTTTGGGCTTCAATACTTTTTTGCCCAAAGGATTTGCAATAACTTGTTCTCCTGAGGATGAAATACCTCCTCAAAAGAAGAAGCCTGTTCAATTTGAAGAAGCTATCAACTTTGTCGGTAAGATTAAGGTAATTAAAAATCACATTTTGACGTATTTTGGTGTGATTTTTTTTTTCTTTACTGCATTATAAGCAGATGTCTTTCTTTCTTTTTTTTCTTCCCTACATGCAGACACGGTTCGAAGGTGATAGCCATGTATACAAGTCATTTTTAGAAATATTGAATTTGTACAGGAAGGAAAACAAATCTATAAGTGAGGTGTACCGGGAGGTTTGTTTTCACTTTCAAGTTCATGACTCTTTTTATAACAACATTCCAATGGCTATTACTTTCAAGATTTCCTCTTTTTGCTGGTCTTTTGACATTTGATGACAAGTTTTGCCTTTTGCAGATCTCTGCACTGCTGCAAGACCACCCAGATCTTCTCAGGGAGTTTGTTCATTTTCTGCCTGATGCTTCAGCCACAACCTCAAATAATCACGTGTCATCTCTGAGAAATTCTGTGCTTCGTGATAAAAATTCTTCAATGCCACCTATTCAACAAGTACTTATTGACATGGTTTTAAATGCTTTCACAACATTCTCATTTTTTTCAATTGTTTGGCCAATATTTAGTTTGTGTTCATCATTTACAGAAAGAGAGGACAATGGCTTCACATGCTGACCACGACGTGGGTGTTAACCATCCTGATTGTGACCATGCTAGAGTAACTATAAAAGGTGATAAAGATAAATGTCAGTACAGTGAAAAAGAGAAGGACAGGAGAGACAACACAGATAGTAGGGAACAGTATAGAGACGTTGATAAAAAGTTTAATGAGCATGATAACAGTAGGGACATCAGCATGCAGAGTTTTTCCCTAAAGAAGAAATCTACCATTAGGGTTGAAGATACAGCTTCAGAGAAATTGCGTCCAGGTGGAGAAGGTGAGTAACTTTCTGGTGTGCGTTTCATGTCCTAATGATAACAAAATGTAAAGTGTATCTGCAACGTCGTTTTCATTGTACATCCTTCCAAAAGTTCCTTTTCTTAAATTTGTAATTTTTAATCTGTAATCTATATTTGATTTCAGCAAAAAGAGCTGTAACTGTGTCCTTAAACTTGGTAGCAAAGAAATCTTGAATCGGTAATCTAATGGCTATTTCTGTTGTTCCATCTTTTAATTTGTGTATTTCATGACAGGTATGTCTTTTATTGAGAAGATAAGGCAGAAGTTACCAAATCTTGATGTTTACCAAGAAGTTGTGAAGTGCCTTGATATATTTGACAAGGAAATAATCACTCGATCAGAACTGCATTCTCTGGTATGAAAAATATATATTACAAGAACTTTATTACTCGTCTTGTTGAATATATTTGCACAGAAAATTGTGTTGTGGTAGTTAATCATGGAAGAAGCTCGCAGCATTGCAAATGTATTTGCAACAATGAACGAATTTGGAAGCACATTTTCTCTTTTGCACCGTTGAGTTAATATCTGATTTAATTTATTGATGTGGCCATGTTTGCAATTTAGTAACAATGATTGTTCTTCCTTAGTCTGTAGTCCTCAAGTTAACTCTCCGACCTTATTGCTATTTTATCATGGGTACCATACACAACTAGTAATCATCTTTGACATTTCCTTTTAGATAGGGGCTGTCGTTCCTATTTCCTACTCCTTAAGGCTTTACATTTCTCTAAAACATTTTAAATCAATTTTTTTGGTGGTTCAGGGTGACTCTAAATTAATTCTCATTATTAAAAGTTAGTCTAATATATCATTTGTTTGGCATTTTCCAATTTCTCTAACATTTTATAAGTTCTAATTTGGTCATCTATTTATGAAGTTATGAGAACAGTTTTTTTCTTTTTAATCGAGTGAAATATGAAGGGGGCGAGGAGGTTGGGATATGTAGGGCATTGGATGAGTTTTACTTTTAGTAATTCAGTGAGTTATGGAGTGTCCTATGATAATCTTTTTCTTGGTGAGTTTAGGATAAGATCTGTTAGATTTTTAAGTCAGGTAGTATTAAAGTAAGATATTTGAGACAAAAAACTTTAGATTTTTAAGTCAGGTAGTATTAAAGTAAGACATTTGAGACAAAAAACTGACCAAGTCATGAAAATATATTTTTAAGTCTATATCATGATATTGTGATTCAATTTCAATGATATTATGGACAAAATTGAAGCTTTTAAAATATTAGAGACTAAATTGCAACATTGTGTATAGAAGGACCAAATGATATATTTAACCAAAAAAGGAAAGCAGTATATAATATCAAATTAATTCTATCAAACTTTGATTCTAAAATATTTTTAATAAAGAGGATCTTAGTACATTTCCTTAGCTCTCTTTTCCTGCATGAACCAGCATATTTTTGGAGTAAAAGACTTAAGGAACATAACAACTCTTGAGCTGTTGGTAAAAGAAGAGAATTCAGAGGTTATTTCGTGGTGGTTAGAAGTAGTGGGACTAATTTCGACACCCCTGATTTATTTCTACACCCGTTTAGCCATGTCCTTTATACTATGAAAAACCTTTGATGGTTTTCGGAAAATGAATACTACATTAACTATGTTTGTATGCATTTAACCTTGTTCAGGTGAGAGATTTGCTTGGAAGATATCCAGACCTTATGGATGCTTTCGGTGAATTTATGACACTTTGTGACAGAACTGGTAATTGCTTGTAAATTAATATATTACCCGAAATTGATGCTATTGATGCTGTATTGCTAAAATGATAACTTTATCAATTACTATCCTGCAGATGGGCTTCTAGCAGATATTATGAGTAAAAGTAAGTGAAGCGATTGCCTTGCCCTATATGCTAGTATGAGTCAATAAAAAGATTTTTCTCAGGCTTGTGGCATTCTGTGTTTCTTTCCTTCTTTCTTTCCTTTCCCCATATAATTGCAAAAGTTATTTGAGATAATTTTTAACCTTAAAGAATTATTACTATGTCACAGAAGCCTTGTGGAATGAAGGTAGTTTACCAAGATTGGTGAAGGTAGAGGAAAAGGATAGAAATCGAGATCAGGAAAGGGGGGATGGTGTTAAAGAACGAGACCATGGAAATCGAGAAAAGGATAATAGGCTTGATAAAAGTGTTGCTTTTGGCCATAATGATGTTGGAAGCCACAAGATGTCTCTATTTTCTGGCAAGGACAAATATTTTGCAAAGCCTATCAATGAACTTGACCTCTCTAATTGTGAGCGGTGTACACCCAGTTACCGTCTTCTTCCGAAGAATGTAAGAAGTAAAATAAATATTATTCTGTTTTTATAAAAACAAAAACAAGTATTATTATGAACTGACATTTCAATTTTGGCGTGTTTTTTACCTTTTGTCTTTTTTTTGGTAATTTATATGCAGTATCCAATACCCTATGCTAGCCAAAGAACAGAAATTGGTGATCATGTTTTAAATGATCATTGGGTTTCTGTCACTTCAGGAAGTGAGGATTACTCTTTTAAACATATGCGCAAAAACCAGTATGAAGAAAGCCTCTTTCGTTGTGAGGATGACAGGTGGACCCTCAACTAAGATTAATTCATGTATTTTCATCAGTTCATATCTGTTGAATTATAACAGATGGGATCAAATTTGTGGGTCTATTTCCTATAGCTCTATTGGATATAGTTGGCAGTTCTTTGCATTCACTGTTTCATGCCAATGCATAGTCTTGATTTTCTGTCATTGAATGTATCATCACGTTGAAGTATTTATTCATCTCCGTTGATCCATGCTTTCTAATAACCATCTTAACTTATATTATGAATTATTTTCACTTATTTTCCCTTTCTTTTGAAGTTTTATTGGCACTGATTATTAACTGTCTTCTGTTTATGCTGGCAGGTTTGAATTAGATATGTTGTTAGAGTCTGTTAATGTAACATCCAAGCGTGTCGAAGACTTATTAGAAAAAATCAACTTGTCTGACAATCCAGTCCATATTGAAGATCATTTAACAGGTATTCTTATTGATGATATCTATAGGATATTTAATGAGTTCAATCTTCATGTTGTATGCTTAAATAAATTACATTCTTCATATAAATTTCCGAAATTTTCATTCTAGCAGCACTTAATTTGAGGTGCATTGAGCGCTTATATGGTGATCATGGCCTTGATGTGATGGATGTGTTAAGGAAGAACGCTCCTCTTTCTCTCCCTGTTATATTAACCCGTTTGAAGCAAAAGCAAGAAGAGTGGGCACGGTGTCGATCTGATTTTAATAAAGTTTGGGCTGAAATATATTTTAAGAATTATCAGAAATCACTGGATCATCGCAGCTTCTATTTCAAGCAGCAGGATACAAAGAGCTTAAGCACAAAAGGTAAATTACAAATGCAATCCCAAAAGGTGAATTTCAAGTTCTCTCTCCATTCCTCATTTGCTCTGTGCATGCTATTTGCAGCTTTGTTATCAGAGATCAAGGAAATTAGTGAAAAGAAGCATAAGGAAGAGGATGTCGTGCTCTCTATTACTGCAGAAAATAAACGACCTATAATCCCAAATTTGGAATTTGACTATCCTGATCAGGATATTCATGAAGATCTCTATCACCTTATCAAATATTCCTGTAGAGAAATATGCTCCACAGATCAGTCCGATAAAGCTATGAAGATTTGGACAACCTTCCTGGAGCCCATGCTTGGTATTCCTTCACGGCCCCTGGGTGCTGAGGATTCCAAAGAAACTATTAGGGAACATAATTTTGCAGTTAGAGGTACTGCAGTTGGCATGGTAGAGATCAGCAGTAGTTCTAATGGTGGAGGTGTTGAGTCCAAGCTGTCAGATCCTCCCAGAACTGAAGTAGAAAGCATTCCACCTAAACAATCAAGCCCTTGCAGGGTTTGGCCCACGAATGGAGATTCTTGCCCTGAAGAAAATAGTTTTCACAAAGAAAACCGTGTTGACAGCAAGGTTGATGATCTCTGTAAATTGCAGTTCAACAACAAACAAGAGAATTCTAATGAGAGGTTGGCAAAATCCAATGCGTTGGTTAGCAATGCACTCGAACAAGAGAATGGAAAAGTAATTGTAGAAACTGCATCAGGTTTGCATAATGCTTCCAATTGACACTTCAAATTAATTGCTCGCTTTTCATCTGCATCTTTTTCTAACCATTGTATTCTAACGTTTGTCTTTTGGTTGTCAAGGGCTGCGTTCTACTTCATCCAGAACTTGGAATGGTAGTGTTGATAAAGGGCTTGAGTTAGCATCATCACAGGTATGGCCAATGATGCAGAAAAATTTCTTTTAATCGGAACTGCCTTATGCTTCTTTTCTCCTGATTTAGAGATGTGTGGGGGAGGGTCAAGGTCGTGAGAGTATAAGAAATGAGAGCTGAGGTATCAGATAAAAAATTTCATCGAGGAAAACATAAAAGTTAGAACAAATAAACAAAGAGCATGTTTTGTTTGAGAGATAAGGAAGAGTTTTGTTCTGTTAATTTGATGGTGATCCGAGGAAATTAAAGAAATGGGAGGAGGATCTCTCAATTTACCATCTTTTAACATAAAACATAAAGACCTAAGTCGCTTTAATGAACAAGCTAATCTTTATCAATAGGAAGAGGTAACATTATAATAATTCTCATTCTATGCCCAAGTTTACAACTTTCAATTGGAAAATAATTTTGTTTTTAAAGTTAGCAAAAAAGTTGGCTAATTTTATAAGCAAGGCTAAAGAAATTGCCACTTTTTAGTACTCAAGGATGTAGTCGATTAAATTTAGAGTCCGAGGACTGTATTTTAACTACCTCTGTAGACTAGTAGTTTACTTGTAGGTTTTGCAACTCATCTTTAACTTAACGTAATATGATGCATACTTCTATCATTTACTATTACCAAATTATGGTTAAATTAGTACTTTTATCTGCTAAGCATTTGAATGTTCGTGGTCGTGTCTAATAGATTCATGAATATTACAAAATGTTTAATAGATCCCTAAACTTTTAGTTTGATTTCTAATAAATTTCTAGACATTAATCCTATCTAATAGGTTATTGAATTTTTAATGATCTATTAGGTCAAAATGTCATTAGACATTATTTTTAAATTTATAGAACTATTAGATAAAAAAAATTAAAAGGTCAGAATTTTATTAGACAAATTGTAATGGTGAAAAGATAATAACTGTATTCTTAAAATGTATTCATAATTTAAGTGTTATTTTGTTTCTCAAATAAAATTTTAAATTTGAGAAGAAAATTGAACTTGCGTAACCTTTTTCCTTGCTTGTTTTGGGATGGTATTTTATCCTCCAACCTTTATTTTCTTTTCATTAATCAAATGTTTCCATTTTAAAAAAATAAAGTATTATCTGTTATAAAGGTTAATACATGTTGTGCAAAGCTGCAAGCTGAATAGTCTTTTGGATGCTTCAGGGGGGTGGTTCATCAAGGCCACTGTTGTCCAATGGTGTGACGGCTGAAGGCTCAAATGCTCCAAGTTTCAATGAACAATGTGATGGTCACTCAAAAATAGAGAGAGAAGAGGGCGAATTATCACCAACTGGAGAACTTGAGGATAATTTTTCAAATTATCAAGAAGCTAGTCTTGATAAAGCAAAAGACAGTGTCAAAGACAGGCAATGTTTCAGAACGCGTGCAGACAAAACATCTTGCAGGGGTGTGACAGGAGAAACTCATATAGATGCTGATGACGAAGGGGAGGAAAGTGCTCGGCGGTCATCAGAGGACAGCAAAAATGGTTCTGAGAATTGTGATATTTCTGGAACCGAGTCTGTTGATGGAGAGGACAGTACTCGTGAAGGGCAGGATGATGGGGGTCATCATGACCGTGATAGTAAGGTTGAGAGTGAAGGTGAGGCTGAAGGAATGGACGATGCCCACAGTGCTGAGGGTGATGGAACAGCATTACCCTTTTCAGAACGTTTTCTTCTTCATGTGAAGCCTCTTGCCAAGTACATCCCATTGGCATTACGGGATGAAAAAAAGAACTCCCGAATTTTTTATGGAAATGACTCCCTTTATGTTCTTTTTAGACTTCACCGAGTAAGGTTCATAAATTTGAACTGATGGTTTTGGAGTTTTTTATTCTAACGAGATTAACGATGAATTTTCCCTTGCACTGACCATTTAACCTCATTTCTTTGGTTTGACAGACATTGTATGAGCGGATACGATCAGCAAAGATTAATTCGTCATCTGGTGAGAGGAAGTGGAGGGCTTCAAATGATACTAGCCCTAATGATCTCTACTCCAGGTTGGTTCCATTTGCTTGAATTTATAAATACTCGTGTGTCATGGTTACTGGAACTTCTAAATTTCACCCATTTTGGTCATAATTACATGGGAAAGGGAAGAATTAAATCTATTCAGATCCTAATCTTGATAAGATTTGTGTTCTGAAATGACTTCCATCTTTTGGTCTAGGTAGAACTTTTCATAGTTTCCTTTTCTTCTTCCTTGTTGCTTTGTAAGATTGTGATACCGAGTGTCGTCTACAGTATAATCTGGTCCGTTTGGTCTAGGTAGAACTTTTCATAGTTTCCTTTTCTTCTTCCTTGTTGCTTTGTAAGATTGTGATACCGAGTGTCATCTACAGTATAATCTGGTCCGTTTGTAAAACTACCGGACCTTACATAATCCCATTTGTAAAACTAAGTGGGACAGCGTATGTTATACTGTATAGCATAGGAGTGGTATCTAAATCTTCAACCTATTTAGTGGGAAAATCGGTAGAGAGCTCTATATCATCCTTGTTCTTACACTTGGATATCCCATAATTAACAACCACCCCACCCTTTTATATTCATTGGCTTTGATTTTGAGGTTTCTTCATCTTTTATCCACATTCTTGAAAATTATCAATTTGTTCATTATCACTTGACTTTCTGTAAACATGAAACAGATTTATGAGTGCACTTCGTAGTTTACTTGATGGTTCGTCTGATAATATGAAGTTTGAGGACGACTGCCGATCTATTATTGGAACCCAGTCGTACGTTCTATTCACTTTGGACAAATTGATTTATAAACTCGTCAAACAGGCAAGATTTCTTAGCTGTATAGATGTTTCTTAGCTGCTGCTGTTTTGTTGTGCAATTTGATCTGAAAGGCTATTTCAATACTATTTTCAGCTTCAAACCGTTGCTACTGATGAGATGGATACCAGGCTTCTTCAATTATATGTCTATGAGAATTCAAGAAAACATGGAAAAGATGTAGACACAGTTTATCATGATAATGCCCGTGTGCTTCTTCATGATGATAACATATACCGAATCGAATGTGTAAGATCTTGGGATTTACTTTTTGTGAACGATGATACATTGATTTAAACTTTTAACTCTTGAGCCGTGCTCTTAATGTAATAATACTCTTACCTTTTTCACCAGTCATGCACTCCAGGTCATCTATCCATTCAGCTAATGGAATTTGGCCATGATAAGCCTGAAGTTACGGCTGTTTCTCTGGATCCCAATTTCTCAGCTTACCTGCACAATGATTTCCTCTCTATTCTCCCTGACAGGAAAGAAAAGTCCGGAATCTACTTACACAGGCATGCAGATTATTCACAAACTCAGATTTTACTATTAATGTTATTTGGTTTGGACATTAACATTAACACCCTTTTTTCTTTTTCTCTCCTCAGAAATAAGTGCAAGTATGCCTGCAGGGATGATATCTCTGCTGCATGCCAGGCCATGGAAGGACTCAAGGTTGTCAACGGTCTGGAGTGTAAAATCACATGCAATTCATCAAAGGTAGAGTTCCAATACAAAGTTCTTTTTATATAACTTTTCTTCCAGTATTCCAAAATATATTGTTATACAATGAAAATACAGAAGCTTTATTCATACAAACACGAAGGCCCTACCAAAAACTATTTTAATAAATGTAATTTCTTGCAAAGAGAGCGCTGGGAAAGATTGAAGCCTTGGATTTATATTTGATTTGGGGGCCTTCTGTTGATATGATGTGGTTTATGCACGATAGGTCTCCTACGTTTTAGATACAGAAGATTATTTGTTTCGCCCAAAAGTCAGAAGGTTGAATAGAAGTGGTTCTTACAGTCGCCACCTATGAAGATCTTCAAATGGAAGCTCAAGCAGAGGACAACGATATCAAAGATGGTTATCGAGCTCGTGATCACGTCCCATTACCTAATTGTAAGCACCGCATTACACGTACTTGAATTCTCTTTCTGTTAGAGCATCATATTGCTCTCCCTTTTGCATCCTCATGGCTTATTCTTCTTCCCATTTCTGTGTTGGCTCACTGGAGTAAGAAAACATCTGAGATTCCTTTCTCTGCATATCTAGGTTTCCAAGGGCACGGTATGAGCATAGCAAGGACGGAGCGTCCGGAAGAAAATAAAAGGAAAAGCTGTAGGTGAAGTTAGTGATTATTTGTCTAATCAGACAAGTTAGAAGAAGAATACAATGGATGGAGGGAGGTCGGTCGAGAGCTATAGATCGGTTGCGTTGCGTGCGAATGTTGTAAATAGAGGTAATTTGTGATGTGAAGTGGAGAGAAACTACGTCGTCTACAATTTACACATTTCATTCTTTCTGGTTTCTTCAAATAAACTGTATTTGTATACAGCAGTTGGTTGCGTGTTTCGTCTATAATTAATTTGTTGAGGCCACTGTAAAATCATTGGCTGCGAGTCAGAAAGGAATTCCAACAGAGTTTTAAATGCATATTCTTGTTTTCCGCCTACTTTGTATGCCACACACGGCCTATAGAGAGTACATTCATTAAGAAGGAAATGTACACTTTTTTTTCTTTCTTTTGTTGTTTAAACACTATTCGATCTATTGATACATAGTTTTAGGACAATCTTGGTCTATATCAGAGTATCACGGATGGATGTATTTTTCTACTTGTGGTAGTTCTTCATCGGACTGTTCGATACATAGTTTTAGGACAATCTTGGTCTATATCAGAGTATCACGGATGTATTTTTCTACTTGTGGTAGTTCTTCATCGGACTGTTCCGGTTGGTTGGCGACCTGGAGAATCGAGGTAAGAAACTTTGTACTTGTGCTTAAGAGTCAGAAGAGTGATTTGATGAGGAAGAGGTGCAATTGAAATTTGACATAACAATGGTTGAAAGTTTGGTTGGTTTGTTTCATTTAGAAGTATTTCTCCCACCTTTGATTCGTACCATCTTCACAGGTTGACAATACTTGGGACATTCTTTCACCTAAAAATTCAAGAATAAAATCTACAGATAGAATCAAACAATTGAATGATAAGAACGATAAGCTTCTTGAAAAATTATTGGTATTCCACCAAACAATAAACAAATTGGGATACAAGCCCAAGAAGTTATCTACTTTAAGCTTTAGTTGGGCGAGTCTACTTAGTAACTACGAACTCTTTGAACGAGGGTTTCACAAGAGCATATTCTTTCTCCTAAACCTTTAATTCGACTTCTGGTAAAACAAGCATATTCTTTCTCCTGAACCTTTAATTCAACTTCACACGAAGGAAAGATCCCAGATGCATTCTCTTGAACTCCTTCACTATTCAAACACTCGGGAAAACAGTTGGATGAGAAGAAGAAGAAACCTCAAGCTCCTACTAATTTCACTCATTCGACCTCCCTTCGCTACTGAACCAAACGGATTGAACGGTAAAAGAAGATACCATTCCCAACTTTGAACATCAAGTCCTAGAAATGAGAAAAAATCCCAACTTTGGACATGAGATTGTTCGCAACTAAAATTTGCACTAAGGGAATTTTGTATATAATTTATTCTCCATTAGAACCTGGTTGAGGCACAATTTATGCTACTGCTTTCTCTGGAAGTATACAAAAATTTGTTTATGTACACAATTATTAATGTGTCAGCACACTTCTTGCACAATTCATCCATCATGAATACTGTGGGGGGCATTAATTGGGCTGAACGACATAACCACATACTTGTAGAGGTCATATCTCATCTTGGCACACTTCCCTTCCTTGTCCTGATTTGATGATTAGTTTGACCGTAGATCTATCTTGAAAAATATTTCGTTTCTATGAGTTAGTCAAACAAATTTTCTATGTGATGGAGAATTTATTATTCTTTACTATCTTCTTGTTCAATTCTCTATAATTAATGCATAGACGCATTGATCCATCTTTGTTGACAAATAAAACTAGTGTATCCCAATGAGATACATCGGTGTGGATAAAACTCTTATCCAAAAAACTTTGTAACTGCACTTTGAGTTCCTTTCATTCCGTCAGTACCATCCTATTTTGGTATTGAATATTTGGAACTTAATATAAAAAATTTATTCTCGACCAATGTTTAAGATCAACATTGAAATCACTGTATCTTCTCAAAATTTTCTTTCAAATTTAAGATATTTCTTCTTCCAAACATATATCTCAACTAATATGTTCATCTGGATTTGAACAAACGGATGTTCTAAGAAGTCCATACATATTCACGAGGTTGAAGTTGTAGTCTCCTCCAATCCTATAACATGATTTAACAATGTGTGGATTATCTTTCTTGAATAATTCAATACTTTATTTGATTTGATCAATGTGATAAACTAACCAAATTATTTAAACATTTCAAACAATGAAGTTCATTATAAGCGTAGTTGTATTATTGATTTAGAATCAAGTGAGATAGATAGGTAAACATCCCATTGACAAGTTTTTGGAACAACAATTTGTGTAGCACCATAGCTTATCACTCTCTACAAAAAAGTATGATAAGTGAAAAAAATAAAAAACAACTAATTCGAATTAGTCAACAAAAATATATAAGAAGGTCCATGCGAGCACACAAATTTAGGGAATGATATAAGAAGGTTAGTGGGAGCACACAAATGTACTTCCACAACATTGTTTTTATAGTTTGAACAACTTTGAACGATTGAGTATGGTTGGGAGGGAGTCCCTCGTTGGCTAATTCAGGGAATGATCATGGGTTTATAAGTAAAGAATAATCTCCATTAGTATGAGACCTTCTGGAAAAGCCCAAAGCAAAGTCATAAGTGTTTTAAGTTCAAAAGTGGACAATATCATACCATTGTGGAGAGTCGTGATTCCGAACAACGACACCATATCTTTCACCTCTTGAATAGTTTTGCCTTGGAACCAATCTAGGTTAAAACTAATGGGTAGAGTTAGATTGATTTGAGTTAAAAATTCAAATTCATTTTTTAGGTTACAAAGATAAAGGACACGAGAAATAATTGTTATGTGAGTAGATATGCGATACCATGAACTTTATAATTGTTACAAATAATTTGGTCAAAATCGTTTATTAGGAAATGTGAGTAGATGTATCATATACAAAAAGTTTGTACAGAACTAGATCGCAAAATATTTTATCTCTATTTATAAATTTGTTAATAGAAAAAAATAATATTTTACAAGACTATCATATGTGACTCAATCTTAATCTTGAGGAAGTAATAAATTTCTGCCTTGCAAATTTTTACCGGTGAAGGCTTATTTATTGATTTTCATGGGTGAGAATGACGTTGATATCGATTCAATATGCGTACCGTTTTATGAGATAGAATTCACTCATTTCCATATAGGGCAAGTAGATGAGTAGTTCTCTTAAATGTTAATTTTGGGACTTGAACCACCCTCTCAGCATCCCGAGAGAGACTTTATTTATGATCCAACATCACAAATTGTAACTCAAGGTCATAAACAAATTAAAATTAGAGAATCCGTGGTACTTAAGTGGTAAGATGTAATAACAAAAATAAAATAGACTTTTGTTCTAAGTTGTATTTATGAACAACTAGTGAATGATCGACTTACGTGTAAAAATTATATCAATGAAAACATATCCTACCGTATATAAGAGTTTAACTCTAAGTCTTCTAGGTCTATACTATAACTAATAAATGAAAATTAATTAATAGAATAGTTTAATTAATTAATTTTGTATCATTCCAACTTTAATAATATATTTAAAAATTTATAATTCTTTTATATTTATTTAATTTTAAAATAACTCGTTTTTATTTTAATTTTTGTATTTTGCAATAATGACTTTGCTAATTTAAAATATACAAATAAGAAAACACACTCAAAGTATAAAGTAATTAAAATTCGTGACATTGCATTACAACAAGGAAATTGGTAGAAACACGGAAGTGGAAATTATACAAAACGAACCGTTTTGAGCTCATAAATATAAATAAAAAGGAAAATGCCGTTATTGGGGATCAACCCAGGTTACCTGTGTGACAGGCGAAAATACTTACCACTATACTACAACGACTCTTTGGTTATGAAAATTTGTAAAATAATATTACAATAAGAAAGTTGACAGAAACACGGAAGCGGAAGTTATGCAAAACGAACCGTTTCGAGCTAATAAATGTAAACAGAAAAAGAAAACGCCGTTGTCGAGGACCCGGGTGACCCACGTGACAAGCGAGAATACCACTATAGTACGACGACTGATTTGTTAATTTTTGTTACATTAATATATCTATTCACTGTTATTCTGTTGGTGTCAGGTTTGTGGGAAGAAACCTTGTTTGTTTGTTTCATTTATTTTACTTTCACTTATTAAAAAGTTTGAACACATTTGTGAAAATTACGAAATGAATTTATATATCATCCTTAGACCAAAATAAGAGTTTTTAGTTTATTTTTAAATGTTCTAATTATTTTAATATATTAAAAATATAAGTAAATAAAATATATTTTATTTGAATTGTTTAAATTAATTTTTAATATATTAAATACAAATAGAAAAACATATATTTAGTTTAAAGCGTTGAAATGAGTAGGAGAAAAATATTTAATTTTAAGTGTTGAAATTAAAATTTAATTAATTATACATATTAATCCTAAATATTGTAATTCGAATTTAGTTAAATATATATTCGGATATTTTATGATATTTAAATAAGATATTATATTCTAATAATATATTATTTGTCAAAGATTTAAATATATCTAAATATAATGAGATATCCGATAAATTAGATATTCAAATATATTTGAAGACATTTATGAGCAAATATTTTTCACGGTTTCATATAGTAAGACCAATCTAATTCAAGCTGTACGAGTTGAATGAATAAATTTGTAGAAGATCATAAAAATGTTTGAACTCTAGACAAGGAGAATTTAGAGAAACTCGTTCATGGATGGGTAAGTTTTGATGAATTTAGGAAAAATTTAAAATTTAATCCCTACCCTCAATGTTTTTTTTGTTAAATCCTATTCATTTAGCTTTGTGACGATAAAAGAAAATTTTTCGATGGAAAATTGTCATAAATTTTTTATTTAATTTAGTTATTAACTCTCATGAATCGGTTAATGATTAAATAAGAATATTATTAATTTGGTTATTAATTTTGTAACCATTTTAATATTAATCTTATTTAATTCTTTTATGATTCAAACAATTGTCCATAATATAATGGGCTTGTCTAGAAGGTTGTTGATATCAGAATTTGATAGAGTTTTGTGTGTCACGTTACATTTCTTGAGTGACATTTTGGTGAGAGTATTTGTAGCGTAAGAGTGATATATTTACTTGTAACACTTTGATTATTAGTGATTGTTTGCTACCCGTGGATTTAGGGGAATTTTTTCTCTCCAAACCATATAAATATTTTGGTGTCTTTGTATAATTCCGTTCATTATAGTTGTGAGTAAATTCGTTCCACTTTCGCTACAACAATTGATATCATAGTTTTGTGGTTGTAGCATTTGACACACAACACTTTCATGAAGAGATCAAGAGCCAATGAGGTACAGAACACTCTACCCAATAAAGGAGTATTTTTACGCGAAAGACTCGTAAGCTTTGACCTTACAATTGCTCAAGACCTAATAAATCAACTTTAGGTATGGGAATGAACAATTTTGTTGAAGGAATCCATAACTAATAAGTTTAGGAAGTATGGTTGAACATGGAGGCCTATTAAAAAGAACTCGAAATAAGGTTGAGTTTAAAGGTATAGCTGTCTTATCAAATTTCGAATTCAAATGCCAAATTTCAACATTCAACATTCAAGAACTTAATCTACTTGTTCAAAAACAAAAATTCAACAAGTGTAAGATCCCCTAATTGAACTGAGTCTAACCAGAAACAATTACATACAAAAGCCAACTCCAAGCTACTAATTTCAATTATCCATGCAATAAATAGCCCATGGTGAATGCCCTCTCAAGATTTCACTTTCCATTCAAATCGGCTTATTATCTCATTCTTGTTCTTATTTTGAACGCTTTCCACCTAAAATGTGTTTGTTTTATTACGATGTTTCCAATTGTTTAGTTCTAGTGGATCATCAGCCTCCAACTCCATTTGATGGAGATTCAAACAATTTTGACCAATCCTCACTTTCCCTTGTTTATTGCAATATCTTCATGTGTTTTTAGGATAGGTTTATTGCAAACAAACCCCATACCTAAATCTTTTGGTTCGCCAAGCACACAACCCAAGAATGTTCTTCTAAAACACAATAAAGCAAGAAATTGATTGTATGTCACCAACACCTCCGGGTACCACCTTTTTGGAACAAAGGAGATTGATGTCGCATTCATACCTAGGGAAAGAAAGATAATGTCAAAGAAATAACACGAAAATACACTATGAATCTCATCTCGTGTAATAGCCTGACATAAAATCTCGCAACACTCCTACAACTAAGAAAACTCAACCATAGATTTATTTGACTTAAAATTAAAAGTTCGTTGAGACCTATTTACCATATAATCAAAATTTCATTCGCTCTTACCAGTGCGAACGGAAAAGGTTACCTTGACTTAGGTAAATACTTTCTATGAATGAATGAACAAACGGTTTTTATTAGAAAAAAAAAAAAGGTTTAAAAAGTAGTGAAATTAAAGTAGACTGTTTGAACATGGAGGGATTATGCTTAAATATCTGTAATAATTCAAAAATAAAAATAGAATCCTAATAAACAATTCAATGGTTCACAAATTTCCATGAAAATTTATATCGAATTATAATTTAAATTAGCCTATAAAAAGATTGGTTCAGCATAATCTATGAGAATTTTGTATCATTGTGCAAATGATTTTTTTAAGAGAAAAAATTGAAAGCATACGAGGTACTCGCACCTTGAAGCAGGCTTCTTAGAGGACGTGTTATGTTCACTTGAGCTAACAGCTAAACGGCCTTGTAAGAACATGCCCCGCCACTGTTAATTGCCTTGTGAAAAATGCAGCATGAAGAATAATTAACATATTCATCTAAAAAGGGCAACGTTTTTTTGGAAGCAAACCAGAGGGACACCATTTTCAGACGAGCTTATCCAGCCAATTCGCTTATTGGTGAACGATTCATGACATCAGAAGCAGTTGATGCATTTCTTTGCAAAGATGGATCAATATCAGGCAACTTCGGAATTTGAGCCAACAAGTCGATTGTTCGTCGCAAGAGGCGTGCCAGATCTCCCTCATCCATCGCACAATCCATCATTATTTCTCTCCAAGTCAAACCAGAGGCCCAAGCCTCAACCATTCCTGAAAATTGGCTGTCCAAGGAACATGGTATGTCCACTCCATGCTTTTCTTGAAGATCTAACAGAGAATTTCTCTGCTCTTCTAAGAAATTAACCATATTAATTACAGTTCTTGATGGCTCAAATATGTAATTGTTATCTCTTCCGGGGCGGATTTTGATGCCTTCAGAAACTAAACTTGCACAGACACCAGCAAGCTCTGTAGGTTTTAGTTGTACTAAGAACTTATTTCTTAGAACCACGGCAATCCAGAGCTCATTTTCACCACGGATAGCAGCTGCAGTTTCTCCGAGTGGGAACATTACATGAGAATTTATATCCAGTGCTCTAATTTCGTGTATGACATTGCTGATCTGCAAAAACTCTTTCCAGCCTGATGGTTCGATTTGCTGAATTCGATTACTTAGCCGTTTATATCTAGCCTTCAATTGTCTAATCTTGTCCTCTATAATATTGGCCATATCTAAAATCTTCTTGTACTCTCTGAATCCTTCTGTTCTAGATATCCTTTTCTTAAATCGTGAAACTTTATTTCTTTGCTCCTTGTACCTTGTTAAAGATTCCATGTATGATTCAGACATTTGCAAGAGTTCGTCATTTTCAGAAAGACTATTCAGAACAGGCACATTTAAACTCCATGACCATGTTTCCAGAGATCCTTCCATACATGATAAACTGCCAAGCTCAGAATCAGCAAGCTTCTCCCACTTCATTCCCTCTTTATCGAGAAGTGTCCTCATAATCTCCCGAGGTAAAGGATCCCCTTTAGTTAAAGCAACATTAGGAAAGCCAGTTTTATAAACAGTTTTGATCCATTTCTCAGTAAATAGGTACCAAGAATTATCTGAACCTAGAGCCACATAATAAGATGATTCAGCACCTGGGTCCAGATTTTTACCAAGATTTGGTTCTGCACCACTCAAAGAATTATCAGCAGGAAACATGTTAATGAGCTTTGATGAGTCCATGTTTCCAAAGAGAACTGCAGGAATTGAATGTTGGACTCCTTCAGAATCTTTGTATTGCAAACATAAAAAGGGCAACTGTCCATCTCCTAAATTTTGTAACAGAGACTTGAGGGCAAAAATTCTTTGCAATTCCATCTCTTTTCGTAGTTCCGTCCTTTGACGTTTATCTGATCGCAGTTCCTCCTGCAGCTCTACTAACTCGTTATATGCCACATCTGACAAGAGCCTCCTGCATTTTTTCTCAATTGCTTCATCAGTTATTTCTAAATTGAGCACTTCAATCTCTTTTTCTATTTTAACAAGCTCCTCCTTTGCTGCAATCATGACATTGCTCCCAACATAGTTTCCAAAACTCTGCTCAACCAACTTCCTAGCTTCTTCCAGCGTTCGCCCAGCTTGGAAAGCTTTTGTCCCATCCATTTCACTTGTATGAGTAACCTTTGCACCTGCGAGAAGATTCAATACCATTCCATATGAAGCTGTAAACTGAGAAACAAGTGGTTCGATGCCAGCAAACAGGAGCTTGCAGCACTCTTCAGCACCTTCATATGGAGTTTGAAGAAGCACCACATGACCTTTTTTATCAATACCTCGACGTCCAGCTCGCCCTGCCATTTGAAGCAGTTCATTTGAGGTTAACTGGGTACGACCACTATTGCTTCGTTTGCTCAGGGATGCAATGACTGCTGTCCTAGCTGGCATGTTGATTCCAGCAGCTAATGTTTCTGTTGCGAAGACAACCTTCACTAGTCCCCTCTGAAACAGCTCTTCAATGAATGACTTCCACAGAGGCAGACAACCAGCATGATGTGCAGCAACTCCTTGCAGAAGTCCTTTCACAGCCGATTCCCGGACAGCATCTGGAAATTGAATACGAAATTTTCTTAATGCAAGTTCAACTTCACTGCTCTCACAATCATCTAACAGGTTTTTGCCTTCAATGTACTGAACAGCTGCATCACATCCTTTCCTGCTAAATATAAACCAAACTGCAGGCAGCATATCTTTTGACTTGAGTTGCCACAATGTATCAACGACCTGAGGAACCTGGAAAGGTAACAAGCAACCTGTTAGAACATTCTTTGATTGAGTTTAGCAAAATAATATTGGCAAAAGTTGAAGGGCGATAGAGAGGCTGGTTCACCAAGTACATTTGAACGGCGGATTGAGTTTATGTCATTCTTTGAAAGTGTAGCTTGTCTAGACAGGCTGCTAGTGCGGTCATTGCTGATCTCATTCCCATGCCTTTTTGGGTTTCTTCTTCTTGATCCATCATCCTTGTACAATTTAGCTCCTGAAGCATGAAGCTGAAGATAATTGAGCGACAGCTTCCTGCTCCAATTTGGAAAGAGGGAAAAAGAGAAAAATAGTGAACACTGGGAAGTTAATTCAAATGGCCCATTCATACGAGCGCGCGCACACCACACACAAGGCAAACATAAAATTTTCACTGATAAAATTAAGAAATAGAATAGAAGTTATAGATACCTTTCATTAATAGATTATAGAATACCAACATACCAACCAAAAACAAAAATTACAATAAACACTCAAAAATTTCACAGTGATGTTGAATAAACGAGGCGGGAATGAATGAAAATATGACTAACATGTCAGCTGAAAACAAATAGTGTCTATTTTTATCGTTGCATGTGCATATTTGGTTATTTTTATATTTGTGACCTTTACTTATACTTTTTATTTTAAACAAAGAAACTTAAACTTTTATTTTTCAATATCAATGAGCATTTGGGATAGCTTGCACGCATCTCAACTATTCTTACGAGATAATTGCTAGACCCTACAACATTTGTTTTTTCAAGGTAACTCATAGAATATTAAATCTTAGATAGATGACAACTATAACTTGAACAAATTCTCTCGGTCTCTTTTATGATTGTTATTGACTAGTAGGCCAAGCTACAACTTTATCAGATACTAAATAGATCTCCCAAAGAAGGAAAATGACTATAAGCAAGAAATACATTATATAGTCAAACCCTGTATAAAAAAGCTTCAGACAAAATTCAATATTCTTATGATAGCACAACAAGTAGCCACACTAGGCTAAATAATATCAAATCTATGCCAATAACTTTTGCAGAAATTCAAAGGTACCTATTCATGTGCGTTCCTTTCTCGTCAAGGAGAGGAAGTAAAGAGGCCTTTGTAGAGAAATGCCAAGTCAATGGTACTGGACGCTTTGTTGATGTTACTAACTCAGTTTTCCCATGAATCTTAAGAAGTGAACAGAAAAGGTAATTAACATTCACGCCATTCATACTTTCAGCACATTAACATCATAAAAAAACTCATCCCATTCATCTTGAAAGCTGAGAAGAAACAACTAACTTTTACAACATCATATTGATGACCATAAAGGAAGCAATAATATCCTAGAGACCTCATATCCTAGAAAGGAAGCAATAATATCGACTGATAGAGAATGTAAAGCAGAAACCCAGGGGTGAATAATTGCATTATAACAAGCAGCAGAAGAGGAAAATGAAACCAATGTGATATTCAGAACATAGATATGTAGACCACAGCTATTTTAAGTAGGAATTGGATTGTTTGTTCTTTTATGGGAAAAAATCAATTTATACCCTAAAGTTGGGAGGTTGTTTTACTTAAAAACTCAAACTAATAAATGTATCAATTTAAACCCTGAATTTTCCTGAGTGAATCAATTTAGAACCTCCAATAGAATTTCATTTTAAAACCGTTAATGCATAACTTTCCCAAAATGCAAGAACTAATGGAAATTAGAGAGAAATGCAGAAATTTAATATGCTGTAGAAGTTTTTTTTATTAAGTTTAAACGATGTTTCATCTACTCACCTTCCATTATTTTTCTCTACCTACTTAGAAAAAATTATGTGACAATTTTTCTTACTAGTTTGGTAGGATTTTTGGAGAAAAATGATTTTACTTAGTGATTATGAGCTGATTTTAAATGGAATCAAGTGAAAATAGCTATAAATGACTAATAGACTGTCTAAATTGAAAATTTAGGGTTTCAATTTATACAATTATTAGTTTGAGTTTCAATTGATACAACCCCCAAAGTTTAGGGGCACAAATGAATTTTTTCCCTTCTTCTATTTATACTTATGATCTGTTTCCTATCAAAACAATCAGCTAAGACAATAAGCAAAAAGTCTCAGATCTCTAATAATAAAGTATTGGAGACTTCATCCACCTCAACACACACAAAAAAGTGACCTAATAGAACTTGTCGTCCTGTATGCTTAATTGGATACATGCTATCATCTAAAGCATAGGTTAAAGTTGTCGTACCTTTGTATGGACATGTCACTGCCATTTAGAGTATCAAGAAGCAAAATGCAATACAGTCTGAGAAATGTAGAATAAGCAATAGAAGAGGAAATATTCCACTAAAAAACAAATAGTGAAGTATCACTGTCACTCTTCCTACAGTGAGTTCTGAGTGAGATATGAATGTGATACTTGTCCATTAGCAACTAAACACTTGATACCGTTCTTTTTAGTGGTAAATCAACAAAGAATTGTTCATTTCTTAATCTTTTTATATGGTGTTAACAGAGAGTCTCCGCTTTACACCAAGATAAAGGAAGAAAAAGAACACTATCAAAAAAGACCGGATTGGTTTTTTCCTTTGATTTAATAATCTTACTATTTCTTTCCATCCAAGTCGACCACAGAAAAGCCCAAACAAGATTCATCCAATGATTTCTTTGCTTCCACGAAAGGAATGACCCAAGAAGAGGAGCTTAAGAAAAATGTAAAGATGTTCTAATTCTATGACCCTCATATAGAAGGAATAACTCCAAAGGTTCAACTATTGAACATGATAACCAGGACAGATGCCAAAAATAATAATAATAATAAATAATAATATGAGAGACACCAATCGTGGTTCTTTTACAGGCTTAGGTGCTTATCGAAAACACTACCTGACCAATCCAGCCAGCCAGCTCATCTGGATTTGCAACCGTTGCAGAGAGACAAATAAGCTGCACTTCTTTTGGGCAATAAATAACCTGAAATATACACAATTCTATTAATAGAACATGCGTTACTAAGCTAGACACGACAAACGAGAATCCCAAGTAACAAATACTTACAATCTCTTCCCACACTGTGCCCCGAGAGATATCACTAAGGTAATGAACTTCATCCAAAACAATTACATCAACGTGAAAAAGTCCACTTTCAGATGAGGCCATTCCAACACTGCATGAAAAGATATTCATACCTATCACAATTTAAACAATATGCTTGAAGTTGGAAAGAAAACAGGAAAAAAAACACTTTCCACAGTGGAACAATCAATAAGTACATAAAAAATATATATATTATCAAACACAAAAATATAAAAGATACATTTCCTGTAAGAAGATTCATTTTTGTGTTATCAGAAACACCTTAACCATCTCAACCTCATTTGATGAACAAATTGTTATGAAAGAATAGGAAGCAGATGTCTATAGTCACCGGGGCACCATCTCCATTAATCAGAGTGTATTTCTCACAAAATAAAAGATCTTAGATGAGATGCTTATTGTCAACGAGATAATTAAAGATCAATGGCACAGTGGTCATTTTCTAAAAATCGACTAAAAAAGGGCTGGTGACCATGTAGATTGGGACTTCTTAGATAAAATGTTAACAGAAAAAGGCTTTGATTTTGAATAAAGAGCACAAATTTGCAACAGTGTTTTAAAAATTCCATTGTGGTAAATATAATAAGCCTAGTGGCAAGATTCTGGCTACTAAAGGGATCAAGCACGAACTTCCTTTGTCTCCTTTTTTTTAGAAGCACGGGTACAGACTTAGTAGAAGGGTTCGTTGTGAGCCTAGTGGCAAGATTCTGGTTACTAAAGGGATCAAGCACGAAATTCCTTTGTCTCCTTTTTTTTAGAAGCACGGGTACAGACATAGTAGAAGGGTTTGTTGTGAGAAGGGACTATTTTCTTATATTCTAGAAAACAAGACTCCTTAGTGTACCTTAATAGGATCTGCACAATTTTTAAATCATTGAAGATGTCAATACCCACAATGGAATGATATTGTCCACTTTGAGCATAAGCTCTCATGACTTTGCTTTGGGCTTCCCCAAAAGGCCTCATACCAATAAAGATACTACTCCTTGCTTATAAACCTATGATCATTCCCTAAATTAGCCAATGTGGGACTCCATCCCAACAATCCTCAACAAGTTCTCCCATCTTAAGCGATAGAGAACTTCCCTGATACTGGTATATGGTGTAAACATTAGTTGGAACATTATATTAGAGAAAAATAGGAGAGCCTTCATGGCACAAAGGGTCTAAAAAGGAGATTTAGAGCATGGCTCACTTCAAAGCCTCTTTGGATGTTCCCTACAAAATTTGCCTGTTATATTCTTTTGTTGCTAATAATTGGAGTTACCTCCAGTAAATGCTTTGGTTTTGCTGTGGTGGGCTGCTTTTTTCAGGCTAATTTTTCCCCCTATTTTGTACAAGCTGGTTTACTAATTGACATGAAAAATAAAATTCTGTAAAGTGTATCTCATGCGATTTTAAAAGAAGACGAAGAAAGAAAAAAAATCGTTGATAAAATGGCTGCTTAGACGGAACCCCATGCTAGGTTTTTCCAACTGATTGGAGCTCATTGACGATTTCGTGCATAAAATGCGATCGTAACTATGTATGTTGACATCTTACCTCTGATACAACATGTTGCGCAAAATTTCTGTAGTCATAATCAAAACCAGGGCATCTTTATTAACTGCAGAATCTCCCGTAAGAAGCCCAACGTTGCTGTCTCCAAACGTCTCACTGAAACAATAGAAGGATATTGATTTAACAAAAAGTAAGCGATGTAAGAACTGCAATAAGTAGCAAAAATGTTAAAATTGTTTACCGGAACTCCCGAAACTTCTGATTCGACAATGCTTTCAGTGGAGTCGTGTAAAACAATCGTCTCTTCCTGGCTACAGTAGCAACAGCCGCCGCCTCCGCAATCAAAGTCTTGCCACTGCTGGTAGGCGCCGATACCACCACCGACGATCCTCTCAAGAATGCTTCTATGGCTTGTCGCTAACGAAAAATGATAAAAATTTCAAATGTACAGTCTGTAGAGTTGACGCAAATTGATAAATATGTCATAACATTCACAAAATTACAAATAAATGTAAAGATTTACCTGAAACTTGTCGATACGGAAATTATAAACTGAAGCGAGTTCATCAACGTCGACAATTCCTTCTCCAAACTCTCTAACTTCACCGAGAAGCTTTTCGACTCTATGCGATTTGAACTCCTCGGGTGCAATGGAGATTTCAGTAGCTTCCATCGACAATTCCACTTCATCGTACCTCTGCTCCAATTCTCCAAACGCATCGATATCGTACTCCTCGGCTGCCACGTCGTCGTCGTCATCTTCATCTTCATCTTCATCTTCATCCTCATCCTCATCCTCGTCGACATCGGAGAGTTGGGGTTTTTCAGAGAAAATGGACCTCGGAGAGCGGACGGAAGGTCGAAATGGAACTGGAAAGGGAGAGAAGATGGGGAGAGGTTTAAGGCGACAAAACCTCGGGGCCTGAATCGGAGGTGAAAAACAACGAGGACATAGAGAGGAGGGGAAAGGATAAGATAATGGCGGCCAGAGATGTTGGGGAGAAATTATGGAGAAAACGTTAATGGCGGGAGAGGCCATGACGCCGAACTTAGGCTCGGCTACTCTCTTTGGATGACTAGATTTTCTTTTCTTTTAGGGATAAAATATAAGGCTTGGTCACCATTTTAAATTTCGTATCGTCAATTTTTTTAAAAAAATAAAAATAAAAAATGATTTCTAAAATAAATACCCGAATCATTTCTAGATTATAACTTGAACCCCATTTTTCTGGATCCATCTCACATCAATAACTCCACCCCTACTGTCTATAAGTAGTTTTAGATACGATTCTTTGAAGTGGATACCAGAATGCCAAGTATGGCTCGTACTAATCTATCTTCGGGGGCATACGATGATTCTTTCGTCATCTAAGGCATTAATTTACCTACTAAAATATCGCTCGTCTCCACCCACGATCCCAACATCTCAATTCCATTTTTGTCGAAATTCCGGAGTAAGCGGGTTTCTAGATGTGAGATTTCGTTAGGGATTCTTTTAGGTTCGTGGCTTGTCACATGATTTTGAATATTATCTCGATAGCTTTCTGTCCGTAAATATATATATAGTTATTTTAAAGTTTTAATTTTTCAATATAACTTTTATTCAAAAATTGTAACGTTAGAAGACTTGGATGTAGGTTTTAAAACTGCATCGCCTAGAATATAAGAAGCCTTGAATGCAGGGTCCATACTACGCTGCTTAGAACGTATAAAGTTTTGGGCATAGATATTCAGACTACGTACACTGCTTAGAACGTATAAAGCTTTCATGAAGTGACGTATTCAGACTGTAACACTCGAAACGTATAAAGCCTTGAGCATAGGTTTTCAGACTGTATTGTTTGAAACATATGAAGCCTTTGCGTAGGTTTCAGACTACACAACTGAGAATGTAAGAAGACTTAGGTGTAGATTTCAATTTGTATCGTAGGAAGCGCATGAAACCTTAGATTTAGGTTTAGACTAAGTCCCTTCATGAAGCCTTGGACATAGGTTCAAAATGTATCATTTGAAACATGTAAAGTCTTGGACAAAGGTTGTCAGGTTCATATCTTGTATCGTAAATCCTAAGGAGATTGTTGTAGAGAACAAAACAAGAAAAATAACTAAGGGAACTAAAATAAAAAATCAAGAACCAAGGATATGAACTAGAATAAGGATCAAGATTGGAGTTCTCAGACCTAAGAACCCAAAACCTTAGAATTAGATCATAACCAAGCTTAAAAACTTAGAACCTCGAACAAAGATCATTCAACTAGATCATGTCAAGAACTCATAAGTGAAAAACAAAATCTAAGAGTCTAAGTTCTTAGGATAAGGATAAGAATAAGAACATGACAAGAAGCTGGTTGAGGATAGACGCGGATCTAAAGCAAGTGTCCTAGGAAGAACAAAACCTACGGACCTAAGTTCTTATAATAAGAATATATATGACAAGAAGCTGGTTGAGGATGGAAGCGAACCTAGAGCATTTCAAGTATTCAAATGTTTTAAGTTGTTTTGTTTATTGGGTCGACATGTATTCAAACTCTATTTTGGAATTATAAATAAAAAGTATTTATATTTTTTAAAATACGAAAAAAAATTTACCGTCTTTTTTATCCTCTTTATGTTTTCAAGTCAGTTGTGACTTATGAAAATCGAGTTGTGATAGATCTACTATCATCCTCGACCACCTCCTAAGTGTTACATGTAAAACATGTAAAACATAAAGTGAGTATAAGAATCAGTAAGTAGCCTACTTGTAAGCTCTTAATCGTATTTACGGTGGATGCTAAGGTACAGTACTCTCTTGTTCTGATCAAGGACTTAACATGGTTTCTTGGCTTAAGAACCTTAGTCCTAAGTCATGAGTAATGAGTCATGGTACTTAGTTAACCGAGTAACTATCTCTGTCATGCCTTAGACTACTCTCCGTGGAAGACGTAAAAAGGTCACATGGTTGGTGAACATGAACCTAAAACGTGACATACTACAAGAAACATGTACACGACACACTACAATTAAACATGGTTATGGTAAACCTGCAAGGACGTGGACAATGCAAATATGCATAAACATTGACGAGTGTCATGTAAAAACGTAAGAAGAGCATCCTATCTAGGCGAGAAGAACATGAAGCATGAAACATGACATCTTGCTAGGAAACATGGCCTGAGCATTCCATCTACATGAGGAAAAACATGAGATCATGATGCACTGCGTGGTGGGAGGTCAAGGGTCACTTAAAGCATGGGTCAAAGTAGTACCGAACAATCTTAAGTGTCATGGCAGCTTTAGCGCTTGAGGTGTTCAAGGTTCTTACTTTCGCTCATGACCCTAGGGTAGCATATTCGTTTATAATTCATGGAGTTATCCCTAGGGTTTATCATGTAAGCTTGAAGTACACCCTAGACATTTGGTCATAACATATCGTTCATAACCCTAATTCAAACATATTGATAATATTCACTTCAACACGTCATTCTCATAAGTATAAGTCATTTATAGTACTATTTATGAGGGTCATACCACAGTTCGGGCAAGGGCATTTACGTCATTTTCACCCAATCATGTGCATACCCTAAACATGATGCAAGTCATTAACATCCATGAAAATAAGCTTCATATATGATTTTAAGTCGATTAGGAATTTATTTACGATACAAATTAATGGTTGGACATAGTAGGGCCATTTTAATCATTTTATCCTCGTCTTTGGTTTATGTCATAAACATACTCCTATGTCCACCAAACTTTACATATACCCTTTATGACAGTCATTCATTAAAATTTCATAAGTAGCGAAGCGTTTCTATTTTGCTTTAATTCTTACTAATCATAAATTATTGATTCATTTTCAAACGATTCTTATCAGTAAAACTTGAGAAAAGTCCAAGATGACTACTTATTTGCTTGAGACTTTGGAGACCTTAGTTATTGTACCGAGCTGTCCAAATTTCTCCCAATTATCGATAGACGTTTGAGCTTACCATGCACTTACCAATTCAAACTTTTAAACGAGGAATCAGAGGGAGGAAGACAAAAAAAAAAAAAAAAAAAAAAAAAAAAAAAAAAAAAAAAAAAAAAAAAAAAAAAAAAAAAAAAAA